AGTCCGTTCCTGGCCCGTCTGACGCCGTCGGATGCCGTCTTGGGAGCTTCTCTGGGCCGTCTGGGATCCCTCTTAGGGCGCTTTAGGGCCGTCTTGACAGCCATCTTTGGTGTTTGTTTTGGGAGGCCTATTGGGCCTTCGTGGGGCCCGTTGGGGGCCGTTCGGGGAGCATCTTGGGCCGTCCTGGGGCTATCGTGGAGGCTCCTGGGCCGATTTGGGGGCAATATTTGAAGCCGCCGTCTTGAGCCGTCGGAAGGCCGCTGCGAAGCAAATGCACAAATCCTCCAAAACCAATGGGAAATCAATGATTTTGGCATCCTCGGGCCTTCCTGGATGCCCTTTTTGGCGGCCTCTTGGGCCGTCTTCGAGGCCTCTTGGGGGCCTCTCGGGTCGTCTTGGGCCATCTCGGAGACATTTTGGGCCGTCTTGCGTGCATCTTGGGCCGTCTGAAATTTTTGTTAACCATCTTGGGCCCTCTTGGGGCAATCTTGGCCGTCATGGAGGCGTCTTGGAGACATCTGGGAGGCCATCTTGAGCCATCTGGGCCGTCTTGGAGGCGATTCGACCTGCGAGATATGAATTTTCTGCGGCTTGACCGGAACCCCAGGGGGAGATATAAATTGTAGAAAGAGCCAAGAACTTCCTGAAATCTATCACGCCGGGCACACTTGTGGCAGGACAACAGGGGGGGGCGGATGACGGAAAGCGCGCTTCGCGTGCGATCCGTTAGCGGGGAGAAATCAAAACAGGGGGAGGTCGAGGGGGGTGGCAGGCGCACGGGCAGATCTAACACGACCATGTTCGGCCCAAGATGGCCCAAGTCGGCCCCAAGAACGCGCAAGAGGACCCCAAGACGGCCCAAGAGCGTCCAAAGCGAGCCCAAGACGGCATCAAGACGGCCAGAGAGGCCATCTAGACGCCCCAAGAGGCTCCCAAAAAGGACCCCCAATCGGTGTAAAGCATTCCATTACAATAGGAAATCGTACATCTTTAGCACATTCGCTTCTTTGGTCTGAACAGCGTCCGAGGCGGCCGAAGAGGCCCCCCAGACCGCCCCAAGACGGCCCAAGAGGTCCCCAAGAGGGCCCCAACACGGCCCAAGTGGGCTCGCAGACGGCCCAGGAGAGTCCCAAGAAACCCAAGAGAGGCCAAAGAGGGCCACAGGAGGTCCCCAAGAGGGCCCCGAGAGGACCCCAAGACCGCCCAAGCCCCCCAAGACGGCCCAGGAGGGCCCCAGGACGGCACAAGAAGGCCCCATGACGGCCCAACAGAGCCCCGAAGGACCCCCAGGAAGGCCCCGAAATACAAGATTCATTGATTTTCGCACGGTTTTTTGCTATTTCGTTGCATGTCGCGCTATAGCCTTAATACCAGCAGGGCTCCAAGACACTAGGCCAGCGACCTCGCGCCCTCACAAAATACACGCGTTTTCCGTCCCCGTTCCAAGCAGCTCGCATGGCCTCGGGCTATCCCGCCACCGTGTCTGAGTCGTAGGCAACAGGCTTATTGGATGTCTCATGGGGAGCCTAGTGGGCGCTTCTTCGAGGACTCTTTGGTGCATCTTGGAGGCTTCTCTGGGGAGTCTTGGGAGCCGCTCGGGGACCTCTTCGTGGCTTCTTCGGGGCCTCTTCGGGCTTGATGGCCGCCGGAGGCCATCTTGGAGTGGTGGGCTCCGAATAGTAGTCGAGTTCCCCCTCTTGGGCCCCTCTAGGGGCCTCGTAGGCCCTCATGGGGCAAGCCTCTTGAGCTGTCTCCGACGACGATCTTCAGAACAGAGGGCGAGCAAGCGAGAGTCATGCGAACACCTAGCAGATGTTTCAACGGCTTTAGAAGTTGGCCTCCTGGGCTGGCCGCCCTCATGGTCTCCAGGACGGTCCAAGAGCCCCTCCCCCCCAAGAACGCCTCACGGCGGCCATCTCAGGCCGTGCTGGAGGTTGAGATGTGCGCTCACGTCCCCTAGTGCCTCGGGACTGGTCATGCGGCAAGCCCCAAGAGCGCCCCAGAGCGTCCAGAGCATGGGGGCCGTGCTCGTCACGTAAAGAGTCTATACAACTATTGTTGCAGAGAACCCACGGAGGCCTGAGGGCACACACCCAGTGCCTCGATGCACGGTGGCGGATCGGGGAGATAGGAGTGAGATTGGAGTTCCGAGAGATCACAGTAAAGTGTTAGACCACACGTGATTCTCAGCAGATTCTTGCCGCTTGCTCCAGTTATCATCATTACGTTGTTGGTTGTTTTGAGGTTGACGGCGTTTTGGTTTAGCGAAGTGATTCGAAATTGAGGCTTGACCCCCAATCCCTCCCTCTCACCTTTACCCGTCCCTCACCCTCCTCACTGGTCTGTCTTACCGTGTTTGTGCCGCCGCGTATTGCGATCTTGGCCGCGCCCGTATGTTTCAATCAAGTCCAAGTCGAGTTTGGAACGGCAGATCCGCCATCAGAAATCGCGGTCTGGTTTTGCAAAAATGTATCTTACCTTACGGATGGGGGACGTGGGGGATGGTGGTGCTGGTGATGGGCCTTCCACATCCGAGAGCTTCAGCAAGGACTCAGGTGCGAACATGCGGGCTCGTTGACGATATTACTCAAAGCGTGTGGGTAGGGTCCACTTTGGTTTCGGGAGTGGCGCGATGTTCATTAGGTGGCCTCGTGTGGGTCTTCCCCTGGCGTTCCTCGCGAGTATGCGCAGAAGTGAGGCCCAAGGGCCTTTGCTCCTGTCATCCATCAGTAATGCCTCAGGACTGCAGAGGAGAAACTTACAGGCCGGCCTCCGGCGGCGACCCCGTCTTGGAAGTTCCTGCAATTCCAGGGCGCGCCCTCCGACCTCCCACCAGGAGCGTCGGTGGCACCCTCGTCGCTTGTCTGAGCGCACTACAATTAAGTCGTGCCTGTCCCTGTACAGGGGGATATTCAAAAATAGTCAAAAAATAGTACAGGGACTATGTTGCGCGTATTTTTTGACAGTTTTGAAGAATTGTTTGAGCATTTTTTATTGTCCATCGAAGATCGCCCTGTAGGGTGACAGGCCCGACTGAACACTACGAGACCTCTCTGGCATGTTTGGGGGTCGCTGGGCTTCACTTGGTGTCACCTGGCCACAGCCGTGCGGGGGTCAACGGCGGGACGCAGCTCGGAGAGCTGGTCGGGATGGCGCCCAGGAGGGACAGGCAAGGGCTCCCACGAGGGCGCGAAGTTGTTCGCGCTTCGGGGTCCTCGTTCCTTCTCCCCCTCCTCCTCGTCCTCCTTTTCTCCCTTTGGGGGGGCGGCGCGAGAGCGCGAAGTTATTCGCGCTTCGCGGAGCGCGAAGCGCGAAGTTGGGAGCCCTAGGACAGGGGTCGAAGTTCGAGCAGGCCTTGGCCAGGAATAAACAAAAGACGTCAGGAACATGCTCTTCTGAGGCGCACTTGAACAAATGACAGAACTCTTGCTGCCACCTGCGATCGGTGGTGTCGTCTTTATTGCTTGTCTCGTTTTTTCTTTCTCCGCATCATCATCAGCATCAGCATCAGCATCATCATCGTCATCATCATCATCCTCATCATCAGCATCATCATAATCAGCATCATCATCGTCATCATCATCGTCATCATCATCATCATCATCATCATCATCATCATCATCATCATTATCATCATCATCATCATCATCATCATCATCATCATCATCATCATCATCATCATCATCATCCCCACTTCTTCCCAATCAGACTTGCCCAGACCGCCCGAGACTTCCAATCAAATGTCATCTGGGTGCCGAGAACGGCCTTATCGGGGGGCTTCTCGGAGGCTTGCTTCGTGCCTGTTGAAAATACGTTGTGGATGCACAATGGTAACAGCAATTCATTGCGAGATGCGGCGGCTTCAACGCATGGTTGGAAGCTCAGTTCTGCATATTCTGCCGTCGTTTGCTCCAACGAGGACGGGCGCAATGAAATACGGAATGCCTACACACATTAGACAGATCCCACTGTGAGCAGTGGCAACAAAGGAGACTTCAAGGATCAAGTCCGCGAACCCAGGTATGATCGAAAATCCGTTACAAAGATTAGCGAATCTTGCACATGCGAATGGGATATGGAATAGCAATTCGGAGCCCTGGTGCGTTGCGAAATTGCAAAAGGGCAGCATCAACCGAAAGGTTGAAACGAGAAGGGTCGCACTTGCACAGTTGCATGTGATAATCAGGGTGCTGGAATTGCACAACTACAGTGGAACAGAGACATGACTACATACTCACAACCAGCCCAGCAAGAGCGGAGCCGTCGACGCCGGTGAATTTTATGCCATATGACGATACGGCCACCCATCCACATCCTGCGCCGCTCGCCTGTTTTCTACCTGTTTCCACTCCCTCTGCCTCATCCCGCAGGTTGCTGGTAGATCCGATTCAATACCAATAGTTGCCAGCTGGATCCGATGCAACACCGATGCTCCGACGATCCGAGGAGTCCCGATGCCTGTATGGCATTGCTGAGGATTTCTGCGCGGCGTGATCCGACTCGGTTTCGATTCCGCTTGGCATCGCTCGGACGTGTGCCTTTTTCCTTCGGCGAGGACCATCGAGGAGCATCCTTGAGCATTTGGCGAACAAAAACACGCACGAAACCGAAAAAAGCACAGGGAATGGACGTCCGAGCGATGGCCAGTCCGTGCCGAAGCAATCCAATCCAACGCACGTTCCGATCCCACCGACGTTCCCGATTCGATGCTGTCTGATCCCGCCCCCTTTCCCTGTCGCGCTGGCAGCATTCCTGAGCTGGCGGTGCTTTGATCCCCGAGGTGTTTGGTTTGTGTGTTGCGTTTTTTTATGCTGTTTCTGTAGCTGGCGTCTTGTTCGCGGACTGCGAACGAAGAGGACGCCAAAGGTATGGAAAAGGATGGAGAAGAGGGGCAGAACATCAGGCACGGCGCGAACGCACCTAGCTAGTCCCACCCCACTTCCCCCCCCCGCTGCTCGCTTCCTCTGCCCGCGCGCTCCTCGCCGAAGCACGACCGCCAGGTCGTGATCGTCAGGCTGGACAGCTGCCACTCGCTGACCGCGGCGCCTGCCACGCCGCCCGCGCCGGAGAGCTGCTCCCCGCCGACCCTTTCCGAGCAGGTGCTGCAAGCTCGAAGGGTGCACAGCCAGGGCGTCGGAGTACGGCCTGGGCCCAGATTTTCTCTCGTCGTCGTTGGCGTTTTCCTCGCCTCGGCGATCCTCGCCGGGCCCTGGCATCGTGCAAGAAGGGCTCAGGATGAAAAGCCGGGCCTGGGGAGGTGGTCCAGACCTCGAGGGGGCCATGTTTGAAGAAAGGCGCGACATCGGAGGTCTGGGTCAGTAGTGCGACCTTGCAAATTCAAGGTGTGCTCATGTGTCTTGTCCACGGCAGGTTCCCGCTGGGTCAACGCGGCGGTGACTCCAGCGCAGGCGTTCAAGGTTGAACGCCGCCAGCAGCCCGGAACCGGGCGACATCGAACGATTTGCGTTACCCAGACGCCCCGATCGTTCAAGGCTGAACGATTCACGCGGTGTCAGAGACCAACGCCGACGTCGTCATGACGCGAATTTCCGTACAATCAAGACGTCGAAATGTCCAGACCTTTCTGGGTTCCAGAGGGGCTTTGGAAAGGGGGAGGGGGGGGAAAGGAGGAGGGCAGGGGGGGGCTCATGTTGCCCCCTTCTCCCCACAGACGGCACGCCCGAGCATGCGCAGCGCAGCCCGAGGCGGGCTTCCGACACAGACTTCCAACCTCATCATCAGATCCACCTCCATTATTCTTCCCCTCTTCCCCCATCTTCACATTACTCCTCGCCCCCGCCACCACCCCCTTCCTCGCCCCTCGCGCCCAACGGAGGAGGGAGGGGGAGGAAGAGGGAAAGGGAAAGGGGAGTATGATGAGGAGGGGGGGGCACAGGACGGAGGAGGTGGAAGAAGGAGGATCGGTGCGAGACGAGCCACGGCGACGAATCCTCTTCTCCTCCTCCTGGCCCAGTCTTCCTCGCGGGCCCCTCGAGACGCTCCCTCCCCTCGTGTGCGAGCCCCGCCAGCCTCGCTCTCATCTTTCTCCTCCCTCCTCGCCCCTCTCCTCATCTTCGCCTCTCTCCTCCCCGCCTTTCTCCTCCTCTTCCTCCTCTTCCTGGCCCCTCATCGCCCTTGCTCTTCCCATCGCCACTCTTCCTCCCCGGCTCGCCCCTCCTCCTCGTCGTCTTCTTCTTCCTGAAGAACCCTTCCCCGCCCTTCCCCGCCTCCTCGCCCCGCCTCTCCTCTTGCGCCCCCCCACCCCCCTCCTCGCCCCGCTTCTCCTCATCCATCCTTTTCCGCACAGGTAATTCCTCCCTCTCGCACCCCCAGACGCGTCGGTGGGGCGGGCCAGGCGTTCCGCTTGACTTGGCATCGCTCGGACGTGTGCATTTTTCTTCCAGCGAGGACAATCGAGGAGCATCCTTGATCATGTGGCGACAAAAACCCCGCACAAAACTTGAAAAAGCTCAGGGAGTGGACGTCCGAGCGATGGCCAGCTGAGGCCCCCGCGCCGTGGACGACCTTTGCAGCTTGAATCCTGCAGCGGCTCCACGGTCGGAGGGCGGGGTGCTTTCAAGGTGTGGGTCTCGCGCCTTCACCGCGCACACTCGTCGCAAATCGGGCCTGTCCCTCTACAGTCGGGGGTGGACACAGCACCCCCAACAGTGACACGCCGATGTGTGAATTGTCCGTGTTCGGTTCTCGAGAGGGCGCCGCGGCCGTTATTTTCCAGGCTTGCGCCCGCCAAGTTTGGGCCTCAGGTCGTTTTCACTAAACCACGTTTTACTAAAGGGAGGTCTGTCCATCCCCGATACAGGAGGGATATCCACAAATAGTACACAATAGTCTGGGGACGAGTTGTGTTGAGCATTCTTCACCATGTTGGTGTCTGGCCGGAGTATTTCTATTGTTCGTCGAAAATCCCCCTGCAGGGGGGCACGCCCGACTTAACATTAGTCTTAAATGTTTGCAACCGCTTCACGGATGGACCGCGTGTTGTTTTCAACATGCGGTTCTTTGTATAGCGCCGTTCATATTTGCAAACGTTCGCAACCGAATCACGGATGGAGGGCGGGATATGGTCAAATTGTGGTTCAGCGTGTTAGTGTTGCGCGCATTTCCGCCTGCAAAATCTCAGCAGTTCAACAGCTCCACGGGTCAAGGACATCCCGGGTTCAACATATGGTGTTCGTTGTAGCACCGCGCACGTTCGTCTTAGGAGCGTGCAGCAGTTCCAGGGATTCGCACGGTTGGAGTCCCAGGGATGGTGCTCGGGGACGATTTAGGGATGATCGGATACAACAGTCACGTTGAGTCGTTGTGTTGAAGTCCCAGGAGCATGCAGTTTGGCACGATCTGGAAGCGCCAGGACGACACAGTCACGTTGAATCGCGGCGTTGAAGTCCCAGGAACTGCGTTTCTGCACGATTGAAGTTTCTCAAACTGTTGTTTTCTAAGGGGGCACGTCCCGCAATGAAAACACATCCGTGTGGGAACTTTCGAAAAGGGAACTTGGAGGGAGAGTTTATTGCAACGTGATTGGTGCGCCTCGTTGCCCCTTATCGTCCTTCCCTTCCTCCATCTAGGGTCTTGCGCAAGGCAGGCAAGTCGAAATTAGACGACCTTGCGAAAGTGGCGTGGCCAGAACACTCAGCCACGGCCGAGGCGTTCAACCCGGGGCAAGGCTGAGCCACTAACACACCT